AGGAAGGAAGGAAGGAAGGAAGGAAGGAAGGAAGGAAGGAAGGAAGGAAGGAGCAGTATATAAATAAATAATAAGAGTGAGATCGCTCATACAACTGGTAACTACCATGATAACTATTACTTGGGTATAGTAAAATTTAGGATAAATGTATCACATAAAACCAAGGAGTGCAAAATTAACTCAAGATATCTAATATGGAGCAAATAGACTCCATATAACCAGCAGAGAACATAACATGTATTTTACACCTGTGTTAAGTAAACCTGCAATCAGAAGCAATGCTGTAGGAATATGAAGTGGCATCAGGAACTGAAAGCACAGCACAAAGAAATATTTTAGTAGATGAAATGTGTGTCTGTGTATGAAAGTAGCACAGAGTAAGACTTATTGATAGCAACAGACATTGCAGAACATTGCCAGCCCTATTTGCAAGCTTATCCCACTCTAGTATACTCATGTCAAAGAGAAGACAGTGAGACAAACCAGCCTTAGGGAGTGATGCACAGGAGACTCTGCTTCATTTATAATCCCACACATAAGTTGGAAAAGATTCAATTTTAAAAAGCATTATGCTGCTTACCTTATGGGCCTCTGTGGATGGCAAAGTGAAATTGGATGAGTACAGCATGACCATTAATCATCAGAGAGATACCACCGTGAGAAACTACCCCTGTGGCTTATGTTCACTCGGCAGATAACATTTGAGTTTTACCTCCTAGTTGCTGCATAGATCCAACCGTCTGTTTCCTCTTTCTTGTCTCGTCACAAATGAATGCAAACACCACTACAGATAGAGTGGTAAGTGACATATTTATCAAGTGGTAATGGGGAATGATCCCCAAATAATCAAGAACACTATCATAGGCTTATAGATAACAAGCCATTATCTGCATTGCAATATATATACATTTATGAAACAGCAAAGGAAAATATTGAGGTACAGAAATGAATGATCTTCAAAACATCTCTATGAACTAAAAATTTGCCTCAGAAAGAGCAGCCATTTTGTGTAAACTTCAGAGTATGTTTTTGCAACAGAAAAACTTCTATCCTTGTGTTGTTTATGTATGCCTTGTAAACTGGCCATGCCTTAATAATGTCTAACAGCAGTTGAGAAATATACCTGTCATTGAATACTAAAATGCTATTATTACTCAGTTCTTCCACTTTCCTTCATATAGTTGCTGTTCAAAACAAAGATAGCTAGATGGGAGAAAAGGGAAGGAAGGGGAAGGGATAAACTGAGCTTTATAAATGACTCAGGATAGACAAAGGTCAAGGATAAAAATCAATTTTGTCTATTGAAGTTAAGAAACTCCTCCTAAGGTATCAGTCTCCATCAAGCTCTACAAATGGTTGAGCAATTTAAGAAACAAGTGCAAGTGACTGATCCACTTATTAAATTTTGATTTATGCCTTGATGAACAATAAAAAAGTAAAGAAACTCTTGAGTCAAGCAGTTGTCTTGGCAGAGTTAGTGTTTAAATGTTTGCAAACCCTTTTGAATTTTCAGTATTTCTGCATAAATATGACCTAAAACATAACCTGTCCTCCATGCCAATCTGGCAACTGGATAAACAAAGCCAATTAAATAAATGAGTTAAAACATTAAACTTGTTCCAAAGCTACATATCTGTGTGTGGCAAGCATGTGAATCTTTGCTTTCAGACACAGCCATGCCCCCACTGGGCAGCAATAACTGCAACTAAACATTTCCAGTAACTGATCAGTCTGACAGATTGGTGTGGAAATTTTAATGCATTCCTCTTTATTGAGTATCTCCAAACTAAGGGATATTGGTGGGATTTCTCACATGAACTTACTTACTTCAAGTCCTTCCACAAGATTTCTTTAGGATTAGGGTCAGGACTTGGCCACTCCAAAACATCAGCAATTACTGAAAGCAAAAGTTCACATATTTTGTGATAGACAAATATGTAGCTTTGTATTCTTTCCCTCAGTAAAGAAATGAATAAGTATGTTAAGTCATTTGTTTAATTGGTTTTCTCTTTATATAGTTCTAGCAATTGTGTGGATAACAGATCACATTTTAAGTCATATTTATAGAGAAATACTGAAAATCTAAAAGAGTTCATAAACTTTTTAAGGATCACTGTACAGAAATGGTTTGATGTTGTTTTCTTTCTCTAATCTGGCCAACAGTCTCAGAATTGCCAGGTACTCTTTCATTGAAATGCAAATCAGGGCCAATCCTGGTTAGCTTTTGCAATGGGCAATGGTCAGCTAAGAACTGCCACTTGCTTAGGCCAGTGAATATGGGGGAGATGGACACACAGCAATCAATTAAATTCTTAATAAAATGAGTAGGCTGCACAGGCTACGGATTTACTTATGTATAATAAATGATCCTGTCCAAAGAAAAATTATATTCTTTCCTATCTTAAAGGTAAAGAACTATTATAGGGATGTGCTGTCTATATCTCTTACTGTGCATTCTGTGTGGAACAGCATATGCCTGAAACATTGATGGTCCAAATACTGACGTCCTTGTGCAATTATACAACTTGGCTTGGATTTGTGTGTGGCCTAGGCATGGCATGTGTATGCATGTATTATTCCCTTTGTGATTTTATTAGTTTTAATTTGCCGTTTGCTACCCAGAATCAAATAAATAAATCCAAAAATAACTGTAAATCAGATAATCCTCAAAAAACACAATATGTAGCGACCAGTTGGAAGATCCCCATAATTAAGAATGGTTCAGAGCCAAGTATCAACAGAATTATCTCCTGCTTTCAAGACTAGCATTAGCAACACATTTCTATGGTACTTCTTGCTCCCTTTTCTTCATCTTGCTACCTTAAATCAGGATAGAGAGAGCAAAGCAAGTGCAGGCTATGATTCTTTTTTCTTGTTTTTCTGTTAACTGCTCCTTTCTTTAGAAGTAAACAAGTGAAACAACAGCAAGAAGCAGGAGGCTTGATGTACTGGCAGTGGGCCCTCTACTGGGCTGTGTATCTTGGCAAGTGGTCAGTAAGACAAGATCTGTGGGTTAGATTCTTGGCTAATAAACATTTAAGCATATCTCCACTTCAGAAGGAAATTTCAACATAGGATCTATCAGATTTATTGCTTTCTGTAATTTCTGAGAGAGAAAGCAGTAGCCTTAAGTACAACAATCCTCTCCCCACTCACCCACTCAGACATTGAATTGTGGATTTTAAATCTACAATATTTTAGGCTTAAGTACAGCAATTTTTAACAGCCTATAAAACAAAGCTAAGTAAGTCTTCCTTCACACTCTTAGTTGCCAATGCTTTTGTAGTCAAGAGGGGCTGATGTTAAAGTTCATGTGAACTGAGATGTGTTCAGATTTGGGTCAGCTGATGCCAGAGACCAGAAGGCATGAGGCGTTCAATCTTCTCCATCAAGAAGCTCAAAGGTGACAAAAGAGTTCCAAAAAACTGAAAGAAAAAAAAAAGCTGTAATAAAAAATTATGCTGAAGTTAACAAGAGAGCTATTCAAATATATATTACCCCAAACTTCGGCCTCTGAAGAAAAAACAGGAATATTTCCCAGCCTATATCAGTGGACTTCAGTGAGTATGGGAAATAGTCTAGGTATCACACTATAATAAAGTTGTGATATTGTCTGGCAGAGGAAAATTATCTCCTTTTCATTTTTTTTAAACAAAAGTCTATATAAATATTTGTATAAAACTTAAAATTTTAGTTTGAAACACATAATCCAATAAATCTGGAGAAATGGAGCAGCTGGTACTTTAAAAAATAAAGATTTAAAAATGATGAGTCAAACTCCCAAAATGTTCCAACAAATAGGAAGATTTAACCAATGTTTACAGAAATAGTAGGATAAAAATATTTTAAATAATACAGGTTTGAATGAAATACAGCATATTCAAAATGTTAGGCTTAAAGTAATTATGTCAGTTTCATTACTTCAAAATTATCCTTATTAGACATAGACAAATCATGAAAAAGTAATAATAGTAATCTTGATTCTTAGCCCAACTGTGTTACAAAAATAGATTCTATGAATTTATTCAGCTATCATTTATTAATCATATTTTCCCCAATCATGACTGCTGTCAGCAATCTGAGGCATTTAGTAGATCATATATCATAAAATTAATCCAGAAAGTTAACATAGCAGAAAGTCATGCCAACATGAACATATCTGTAGAGCTTTGATGCAGAATTTTTTTAAAAGCTGTGCTTATAATAATTTCATCATACTATCAACCTACAATTCTTCATGTTTCAGACATTATGCACAGAAATGAAAAAAAAATCTTATGGATGCCATCCTTCTCTCACACCAATAAAATAAATTCAGATACAATTTATAAAGACACATGGAATTTATGGAACTCTACTTCAGATGGTTTAAATATAGAATTGGTTCATTACACATTTTAAGCCATATACATTTCTTGTAGATAAGCAAAAGCTTCTAATGTTTATAAATCTGAGATGTTCAGCAGCTGTGGAACAGCTTAAGTCTTCAATGTCACCTAATGAGTCTTAACAAAACATTAAAGATATTTATTCCAGTTCTAAAATCAGATCATACAATGAAAAGGACTGTTTTTTTGAGATTCAAGGATCACGATCTATTTTAGATCTAAATAGAATCCAGATCTTTAAGAGCATATGTGTTGAAGCCAACAGATTAAATAACAATTGGGTGACAAATTAGTACAGTATAAAACTAATCTTATTTAAAAAGAACACTCTAAGGAAAACTTGAAATTTCATTTCGTAAAACTATTTAATACATGTTAATAGCAAGTGGAAAAAAGAAATCAAAACAATTCTAAAAGACTTAAATTCTGTAAAACTAAAGAAACTTAAGAGTTCCTCCTGGAACCAACAGAAGGCAATAGAAAATATAAATGCAGACCATGCCAACTATGAATCAATGCCTTTTGGTTTTCAGTAGCACTGGAAACTTCCACAATAATAAAAGCCCTGCGATTGCAACTGATAACTATAGAAAGTAGATGGTTCCTGCACTGGAATAGTTGAGAAATTGAGGAAAGCAAAAATTAGTAAAGTAGGCACCTCCCCCCCACCCCACCCCCCAAGTTTACACAATTTCAAAAGCAGCTTCTGAAACAACTAAGGAGGCCTGAAGCAGGATATGGCTTCTTTAACTACATAAAGAGAGATATTTCAAGTGCACTTTATTCCAAGCATTTCCCAATGTGTATGTGTGTAACAGTGATCATGGCACTAGGATGATCACTGCAAGAAACAATTCCAATAAGACATGGAATAACACTCAAAGCAGAAATCAGTATAAGGAAACAGCCTGATTTTAAAATAGATACTTTCTGCCAAAATCCTCAGAATTCACATATGTACCCTGGGCCCTTGGATCAAATGTGAAGTCAATTTAAATGTTATGAGCTGGAAAACAATCTACACAGCTATAAAATTGTTCTAATGTACTTTTGTCTTTTGTTTTTCATTGATTGAATTAGACACAATTATTGTGTACTACAAGAAATTGATTCTAGAGTTTGATAATTACACAGATAAAATCATTAGAACCGAGGAAGAACTCTTGTATGTCTTTCAACAGTTTACAACATGTAGCATTTTCTTGTCACCAACAAGAAAAATCAGGCTGGCTTCTTAGAAAAATTGAAATAAAAGAATTGTAATGGAAATTAATGTGCTATTATGTATATGCATCAATCAAATGAATCAGTACAGCAATCTGGAAATAAACTGTTTTCTTTTTTATCTAATATAAGGTTTGTAAAAATGAAATATGACAGACTGAATATTTATTAGTCTATGGTATCTTGAATTTTCTAAAATTATATTCTATACAACTTTTTTTTTTAAAAAAAGGAAAGCAGTGGAACAAATTATTACATAAGTATTATTTAAGTTAAGTAGGTCATAAACATCTTGCCATAATAGAATTCAACTTTGCTATATTCAGATGAGGCAGCCATTCTTCCAATCTCATTTGTGGTACTTAGAAAAGATCTCCTTCCAGGTCTTTTGGTTTCTATGGTGCTGAAAAAAAGTTCATTCTAAATTAACTGAAGACCAAGTCTTCTCTAAAACAATAGCACTTAACAAAATATGACTGACAGATCAAAGAATATGAAATACTACAAGCTAAAAACTTAGATTGTTTGATTCTGTTTTACAGGCCTTCTGATTGGAGGAGAGGGGGGCATAGATTATGCATGCTGTGAAATTCATTCTGAAGTGTGTGGCTTTCATTCTTAGGTTCAATTTTTAAAAATGGTGACTTTTATATCCCCTCTCGAATTAGAAGTTTCAAGTCAAGGCAGAATGCAGGCCTGTATCTCCAAGAACTTTACCTTCTTGAAGATGTTGAAGATCTTTGGGGCCCCTTGGTGCCACCTTTTGATGGTAGGTAGATCTTAATTCAGACATAGCCTGAGCTTGAATAAGTAAAATCAGTTATTGGCTTAAACTAGCATTCTTCCCTGAGAGCCCAGACCTACTGACTCTATTAGATAATTTTTACTCAACTTGGAAGACCACCTTGGAGATAAAATTACAAAATATTGGCTTATCTATAACAACTCTGCATTCTTTGGGTTTTTCTAAAGCTAAAGAAATTGCCAATAGCAAATAATTGATTTGCACAGAGATAGTGCTGGAAACTTCCCTTTTTAAAGATTTTTTTTTGGGGGGGAGGGAGGGTAAAGTAAACATTTTCCCCTGGCTAAATATTAAAACAATCTTGCTACTGCAAAATATTGTAGGGTCTTTGCCCTAGCATATTTTAGCATATCTTCATTTTTCCTGGAAGATAATTTCTTCATCTCAGAGGGAGGGTCTGTCTCTGTCATTTGGGAACCACTGAAACTATGGGCCATGTACTGTTGTGTTGCCAATTTTATGAAGAAATTGGCCACTTGCTTTTACTTTATTTCTAAGCATGTTCCCCAGTAGAGTACATCTTACATTTAATTTCTTCTTGTAAACCATAATAGTGATTTACCTTTAAAGTTGCCTGGCAACTTTATGTAACCTGGCAATTGTATTCGAACAAACATTGTTTTGTTTTACTCTATGTTATTTTACATTACTCTGAGTATGGTTTTTTTGATAACATTGTAAAGTATTTTTAAAATTTAGTGATTTAGTCTTAAATATTTAACTTTTAGTATGTCAGTATTTTTCATACATTTTATTTTTTTCTAATATAATCATAAATTTTATGGATTGCTATATGAACTCTATAAACTCTTATGACCATTTTTCAAACTTATGACCATTTCAGCATCCCCATGGTCACATGATCAACATTTCGATGCTTGGCAACTGACTCGTATTTATGACAGTTCCAGTGTCCCAAGGTTATGCAATCAACTTTTGCAACCTTCTTATAAGCAAAATCAACAGGGAAGCCAAACTTCCTTAACAACTGAGTTACTAACTTAACAACTGCAGTGATTCACTTAACAACTGTGGCAAGAAAAGTCATAAAATAGGACAAAATTCACTTAACCATTTCGCTTAGCAATTGAAATTTTGGAGTTAATTATGGTTGTAAGTCGAGGAATACCTGTATATTACTGAAGTCTTAACGAAAATATGTAACAATATATTGAATACGCTGATCAATCCTTCATCAGATAATTAGTTATTATTTAGCAGCTCCAAACCGGGGGGCGGGGATTAATTTTTTTAATAGAAATTTTGTAAAACAAAATTAAAGTTTTATTATCCTTTAAAGATACATTGTTTCCTTATCTCATATATATATATATATATATTTGCATAGTTATGAACCATTTCAGTTATGTTAAATTATACATTTATATCACTAAAATATGACTTATTCAGACAATAATAAATGTAGCTTTGCCACAAATTTTATTAGTTTATAAAAATATAAAATACAAAAATAGAAAGAAAAATGAAAATAGGAAAGCCAGGGAGAAGAAAGGGGAAGAGGGAAAAGCCTGAGATAAAATGGAAAAAAAAAAAGAAAACCATTGACTTCGACTCTTTTTGGCACAGTAGAATAAAATAACATGTAACCTCAACTTTTTACTTATATAGTAACATTTTATACTAATCATTTCTATAATAGCAAACCTATCTAATCAGCAAATTCCAATAATGATAAGTGTATTGACCAAATGTACTTTAAAATGTACTCTTTCTTTGGAGATAGAGGAAAAGATTCTCAGTTCTAAGCAATATATTTAATTTTTTAAAAAGGCAGGTAAACAAACTGTAGGGAACCGGTGGCTCAGTGACTAAGACACTGAGCTTGTAGATCAGAAAGGTTGGCAGTTCAGCGGTTCGAATCCTTAGTGCTGTGTAATTGGAGTGAGCTCCCGTTACTTGTCCCAATTTCTGCCAACCTAGCAGTTCGAAAGCATGTAAAATGCAAGTAGAAAAATAGGGACCACTTTGGTGGGAAGATAACACCTTC